GGGAATAATAACATGGAGGAAGGGCCGAGCAGGTGTGTGGCACAGCATCCCTCTACATGTCTAAGAGCACAGAGGGCCTGTTCAGTGCAGTACATGGGGGTTTGCTTGAGGCTAGTGGAGGGAAGTTGAATAATAGAGCTGAATATCAAGCAGCTCTCCCTGATGTGGGCAGAGCCTATGCCTTGAGGGACACTGCCTGTTTAGCCCTAGGAGTCAGCCTGTCTGGTTTTGGAGCTGCCACCACCACAGGAGGGGTTGCTGCTGGCTGTCCGGAGAGCGGGGTCTCCTTATCAGCTGATCCACAAGCTCTGTGTCCACTGAAGTTACAAGATGCAAGTTTTTCCTCTTCAATCCCTGCTTGACTTTCCAAGGGCATTTAGATCCTGCCACCAAGGTTAGCTCTGTCCTTAGACTCTGAGTGCCCAGGGAGCTTCCTGCAGCAGCCCCCTCCTCCCCCAGTTCTTGAGGGCAGCACTGCTGCCTGCCCACACTCCGGGACATGTTCCTGCTTCAGCAGCATCTCTGCCCACCGATGCCAGGCAGGGAGCAGAGTAGGCTGAGGAGCTCTGAGGGGTCTGGTTAGAAAAAAAACCCAAAACCTTCCAAGAGCTCCAACTGCAGATCATGAGCAGACCAGAGCTGCTGGCTCCTTCCTCATTCACAGAAGGAGATTGAAATGATAGTGCAAAGCTGCTTGTAAGTAGTTGATATCCTAGTGCGTGCAGCAGTACTTCCTTTCCCTCCCACCCTGCAAATGCCAGGCTGCCTCCATCCAGCCTCCTTACCTAACTGAGCCGAGCATTGCAGTCTGCAGAGCAGCCACAGGTGCCAGCTCTTCTCTGTCTTGTCTCAGCAACAAACAGTGGAGATCCTAGAGATGTGCTGGTGTTAGGCCGGGGGCTTCCAGGGCTTAGCTCCTCTCGGGCTGCTCTCCGCCCAGTGTGTGGTTCCCCAGCTGCTCTGCACACAGCTCTGCTGGCGCACATCAACCCTGGGCAGCCCTGGCAGTCAGTCCGTCTGCTCCACCAGCAGCACTTCTCAACACCTGCGATACACCATTTGAAGTTCAGATTGGAAGTTGCAAGAGATGGGGATATCTTCACCATCATATCTCAGCTGCCACATGCTGCTGTTGTGGGCTGTCACATGGTTGTCTGGTAATAACCTTCACCACTGGTGGCCAGAGCGTGAGTCCATGTGCCACTTGCAGACAGTCCTGAAGATAAAAAGGGCCATAATTGGCCAGTACCCAAACATAAATGTCAAGCCAAGGTTGTTCTAGCAGATTTCCTCACGAGACTGCGGTGCAAAAAGGAAGGAAGCTGTGTTGAGAGATCTTCCTGCCCATAGCAGCAGCTCAGCAAGCAGTACAGCAACTTCATGCTAGTGGAATATCTGGGGCAGGAGGGAGCATCCATTCAGCTTATTTGGGATGTAGTTGGACAGTACGTCTCCCCCAGCAGCTAAAGCCAGCCAAAAAGGGTCTGCTGCAGTGTGCCACACCCAGGCAGTGTTCTCTCTTGGGTTTTTTAACATGTTTTATTTGTTCAGACAATTTTTAGCACCTATTGGTAATGATGCAATTTACTGTGCATCATCCTGCAGACGATGGGGAGAAGGGACAGGAATTGAGCACTGCAGTGTCAGGGACAGGCTGGAAGCAGGGTGATCAGCAGAACGTGCTTTTGCCCTCTGCAAAGCTGCACAGGCCTCGGTGCCGTGATAGTTAACCTGCTGGTGACCACGTACCTGCATTGCTTGCTGTGGTGGGCCTTGAGAAATCCCTCCGAGGAGGTGGCATGTTGTTTTTGCTTTCAGTTCAACCAGGCTTTAGCTGCCCTGATGCTGCTCTCTGGAGGGCATTGCTGTCCTTCCTTCCCTCCTTGGGCTACGTTACTGAGTACAGGCATGGCAACGAGACTGTAGAAACTAAAGAGCTGGCTTCCTTGCCTACTGGACTGGAGGAGACCAAACCAAGCCTGGCCTTCTCCAAAATTAGAAACTCAGCTTTGTACTCATGTAAAAGAAAGAGGTACAGCCCAATGGGTTGCTTGTGGTACAAGCACTAAGCAAAACCTTTAGTTTGCAGTCCAGAAAGTAACACGTGTCCCATCATACACGCATATCCCAAACAAAAAGGGAAGCTGCTGACAAATTTGCCTGTTCGTGCGGACCTTGGGGCAGTGGAGGTTTGGGCCAGGGTATTCTCCTGAAGGTCCTCTGGTATGGCTGACCTGCAAGCAAGTGCATAAAAGAGCATGAGAAGGGAGGAAGGTAGAAGCGAGTGCAGCTGGTGCCAACATTAGTGCAGTGGTGAGTGGTGTACCCGTACCCTTGTGATGGGTAGAGGAGCTGCCTTGTACAGCATGGAAATTGTTGAGAGTGATGGTGGTGGCTTGTATGTGTGTACAGGCTGCCATGATCCAGAGTCCCCTGTCTTGGGAGCAACTGAAGAGCCAGAAGTTTGCTTCTACCAAACTGTGGGTCTTGGTGGGTTTTTTTGAGTTGCCCTTGAATAAATCCTCTCTGTTTAGCGGCTGAAGAGAGGTGGCAGCTGGAGGGTGGGAAGTGAAGCACTAGCTCTGGGGGAGGGGAGTGCTGGAGCTAGCCAGATTCAGCCTCTTCCACTCCAGCCTTTGCATGCCGAGCCGCCAGCGCTGAAACCACTGCAGCACCTTCCACCTGTGGCCTTGGGCTTTCCAGGGCCTGCTGCAGTGTCCAGGCAGCCTGTCAAGCTTCGAGGGCTGGGCAGGGAAAGCTCGAGAGCCTCGGTAAAGCTCTTTCCACCAGGAGAGGGAAGTTTTGAGCAGGACAGATGGGATGATTTTCCTAGCCCTTCTCTGCTCTACTCCAACTCCCCCAGCCAGCTTCTACCAAATCTGCCTGTCCTTCTTTTACGTGCCTGGTTGTTTTATTTCTTTAGGATTTGCAAGGGTTTAGTTTCAATTTGCTGCAAATTCAGCGGGGCTGGTGCTTAGGCAGTGTGGTTCCCGCGGGGAAACCAGGCAGGCCAGTGCCAAGGGAATGAAGGAGAGTGGTGGGGGTAGTCACCAGGGCTGATCGGCACCTCGGGATGCAGGGGCTATGCTGATCCTGCAGCAGTGAGTGTGGGGCGCAGAGGGCCCTGGCCAGGCGGTGACACCTGCCCTGATGTCGCAGCACCCTGGGCTGAGCTGTGAACCCCAAGGAGAGGGGGAGCTGTGGGGAGCAGGAGCCCCAGCGGTGCGTCTACCCAGCAAGCAGGTCCCAGCCCTGCTGCGCGCCCCGGGTGGCATTGCCATGTCTCCCCCTCCCTGCTCCTACCCTCTGACCCCTGCTGTCCCCCCGTCCCTGTGCCCTGACCCCTGCAGCCCAGCCCCAAGACTCAGGGGGAGCCTATTTAATTCCTGGTCTCTGTGTTAACAGCCACTGTCTGGGTGCGATGGAAACCTTTTTTAGGCGGCACTTTGGGAGGAAGGGGCCGCGGCGTGCTAGCATGGTGGCTGTGCCCACGGGCAAGGCCAGGCGGCGCTCCCAGAGCAATTACCTGATCAGTCCTTTCTGTCAGTAGCATGAAGTAACTGGCCCCAGTACCACTGACTAGTAAACGTAGCAAATGCCTAACAAGTAGCAATCATGTACTCAGAACCAATGGTGATGTACATCTTTAGTCTGCCTGTTTTCTTGGCAGGTCGTGAACTGTCCCTTGATAAACAGTGAACTGAATCATCAGCTGAAGTCTAACTACAAGGCATAAATGAACAGTTTTTTATTCAACACTGAACATCTGGGATGAGTAGAAAGCAGAAAACCTCTTTCTGGCAATAAATAAATGATGTGATGAGTATATATATATATGTGTATATAGCTGCTGAGTGTATCTGACAGTCCTACCACTTCTTGTGGTTTCCTGTCACTGTATCATAAACATATCCATTCATATACCTACCCCTGATCATCATCTCCTTCTTCCTTACAGGGGGATGTGTAGTGACTGCATATACCTTACAAAAATCAAATAATTCTATTGTCTGGTTTACGTTAAAACCAAAGTGAATGTGTGTTGTGGTTTAACCTCAGTCGGCAACTGAGTACCACACAGCTGCTCACTCACTCCCCCCCCCCCCCCCCCCGGGGGGCTGGGGACGGGGGCCCCCCCGCCATGCCACCCCGGATGGCTGGAGCCCCCGGCTACTGTATGTATGACGGCAGCTTGCAAACGTGCGATGCCTCAGGGAGGGGAGGCTGGGTGCTGACCCAGGCTCGGTGGGGAAGGAGGGAAGGGGCTCAACGCCATTGGCCCTGGCTGCCATCAGTGTCTTGCAGTGCTGCTTGTGTCCCACTGAGCATCTCCCACTCGGGCCAGCGCTGCTTCTGGTGCTCTCAGCACGGCACCTGGGGCTTGCGGGCATCCCCTTCTGCCAGCCCAGGGCCGGAGGGAGGTGGCAGGCCTGGTTGTGGGCTGGAGATGCACACTTTCTCCAGCTGGCCGGCTCTGCTGCTGCTTTCCTCCACCCTAGCACATCTGGGAGAAGCTTTGGGGGAGAAGCCCCCAAAAAACAGCTGCTTTTTTTCTGGATGGTTGTGCCGGTCCCCAAAAACGCCCCAGGCTCTGATGTGCCTTGGAATGCGAGAGCTGTGGGGAATCTCTGTGGGGCAAGAGCTCTGGATTGTCCCTGCAAAGGCAGTCGCACCACCACAGCTTGGTGGAGCGTCCCAGGCTGTTTTGCAATGGACCTGTCATCCCCAAGGGCTTTGGCCCAGCAGGCCCAGGCTGTGCCTTTTGCCAGGTGAAGGGTGTCTTTAGCTGAGCCATCAGCAACATGACCTCTTTGTCCCACAGGGCTGCCTCGCAAGAGCAGGTACTCCTCGGCCGGCAGTGCTGGGGGATTCACCTCACTTCCAGACACTTGGTCCTGAGGATGCTTTTCTGCTCCAGCCTCTCCACCCACCCCAGAAAAAGGCTGTGTTTTGCACTCCTCCTCCCCTGATCTAATAGCCAGCCCTCCCGTGTTTTCCAGGAAAGCTATCGCCAAGTCCAGCCTCCAGCACATGGTAACCCAGCCAAACCCTGCGCTAGCCGTGAGGAGCGACTCAGAGAGGCAGATACGCAGCACTGTGGACTGGAGCGTAAGTTGTAGTGCATTTTGCTGGGTGTTGCATGGGATGGGCTCCTGGCCAAGAAGCAGCAGGCTCTTCCCAGGCTGAGGCTTCCCAGGTGACTTCAGCTTTGACACATTTATGGCCTCCACCATTGCCACCAGCTGGTGCCAGCGTCTGTGCTGCTGGCAGCACCACTTGATGCTGCGAGAGGCTGTGCAGGCACAGGTGGTTCCTGGGAGGATGGCATAGCTACTCCACTGCCAGCTCTTCTGCTCCTGGCAGCCAAGGTCTTCTGGTGGCTGGGGCCAAGCAGCAGGAGCAAGCCCCTGCTCCTTTGCAGGCAAAGCCTGGCAGGTTTTAAGCCACATCCTCGGGTCGTAGAACAGAAGCTGTTTCAGGAGAGTCCCCTGCGTTGAATTTGCCCCGATGCCTACTCTCAGGAGGTGATGGAAGCAGCCCCCCTGTGCAGGACACTGCAACTGGGCTGTGGGTCTTGGAGCTGGTTTCCTGGGGCCCTCTCGTTTCCAACAGGTGGGCCATGGCAGCAGCTTCGTGAGGTTTCTTCTGTCCAGATGTTGGCCCTGATTGTTCTGTGCATCTTGTCTCCCAGCCTTCACATAGCTCCAACCCCCTGTCCTGGTTTCGGCAGGGATAGAGTTAATTTCCTTTCTAGTAGCTGGTACAGTGCTGTGTTTTGGATTTAGGATGAGAACAAAGTTGATAATGCACTGATGTTTTAGTTGTTGCGAGGTAATGCTTACACTAGCCAAGGACTTTTTAGTTTCCCATGCTCTACCGACTGAGAAGGCTGGAGGTGCACAAGGAGCTGGGAGGGGGCACAACCAAACTGTCCAAAGGGACATTCCATACCATGTGACGTCATGCCCAGTACATAAACTGGGAAAAGCTGGCCAGGGGGACCACTGCTCAGGGACTGGCTGGGCATCGGTTGGCAGGTGGTGAGCAATTGCACTGTGCATCACTTGCTTTGTGTATTATCATTATTATTATTACATTATTATTATTATTTTATTTCAATTATTAAACTTCTTACCTCAACCCACGAGTTTTTCTCACTTGTGCTCTTCCAATTCTCTCCCCCATCCCACCGGGGGCGGGGGGAGAGTGAGCGAGCGGCTGTGTGGTGCTCAGTTGCTGACTGAGGTTAAACCATGACACCCCTCAGCCTTGCTTGTCCCAGTATCTTGTCCCTTGCACAAAGCATTTTAGGGGCTTGGATGCCCGTCTGGGAGTGCACTCAGAGAAACACGTTGTCTTGTGCCTTTCAGGAGACTGCGGTCTATGGGGAGCACATCTGGTTTGAGACCAATGTCTCTGGGGACTTCTGCTACGTTGGGGAACAGAACTGTATGGCGAAGCTGCTGGTAAGCCAAAAGGGGTCATGCGCCTCCCCAGCAGGGGCCGCAGATGCAGGCTGTGCTGCCACCCGGCGGGGACACCACAAAGGCCCTGCTGCTGCTGCTGGGGCAAGCGTGGGGGTCTGCCAAGGCGGGGAGTGTGCCCTTCCTGTCTCCAATTTCTGCCGGTGCTGGTGCTCAGTTTGCAATGGGAACCTGACGCAGGGTTGCCACTCACTCAGAGGTGGTACGGTGATATTCCAGGGACAGGCTGTTGGGATCTCACACCCTTAGAGGGAGAATCCGAATCCAGCTTCTCTGGAAAGACCTTTCAGTAGAGGAGAAAAGTGAGTGCTGGAGACCCAGGCCTGCTGCCTCCTGACCCTGCAGGCAGCACTGATCTTAGAGGGTTGCTGCAGTTCTCCCTCCTGGCTTGCAGACTCAATCCTGCTTGTGGTGTGGACATGGAGCACTGATGCCATCCTGTGCTTGCCCACAGGGCTTACCACAGGAGCTTCCCAGACCAGCTTCTGTGGTGCTCTCGGGCAATGTCAGAAGAGGCCAAGGACTGATTAAAGCAGTGGGAGAGCACCTGCCTGCTCTGTCACAGACTCAAGAGCATCTGTTCTAGGCACACGCTTAGATCCCTTTACTTGCAAGGAGTCTAGGTGTATATAACTTTCCTATAGGACTTGTTCTGCATCCTGAAATATATGAAGGAGGTGTAAGGGGAGGTTGAGCTTGCCGGCCTTTGAACACTGCTATTCACATGCACATTTTTCCTCCTCTTTTCTCATCCTCCAGCAAAAACCTCTCTCCAGGCGTAAGTGTGCAGCCTGCAAGATCGTAGTGCATACACCCTGCATCGAACAGCTGGAGAAAGTGAGTAGAGCCTGTTAAGCCCTCTCTGTGGCTCACAAAGCTGTAACAGCCTTTTCCTGGGCAGCCCTTCCTCTTGGGTAGTGAAACACAAGAAGACTGGGGAACTGCAATGTGTCATTGCAAAGAGGAGTCTTCTGAGGAGGCAATACCAAAAGGAGCATCTAGTGACATGATTGGGACCCCAGGCCCCATTTTGTTCAGTAACAGAGATATGTGAGGGGTTTCGCGGCAAGCATCGAACATCTCCAGAGGCTCTGGGCCTGCTGTAGTAAAATAAGCTCCAGTAGGTTTTCTTCAGGTATTACTGATTACTGGTTTTACTGATTCCTCTCATGTGTGTTCAATCTACAGATAAATTTCCGCTGCAAACCTTCCTTCAGGGAGTCAGGATCCCGGAACGTACGGGAGGTGAGAGATGTGCCTGGGACGCTGCCTATGTCTGACCCTTCCTCGCCTTCCCAGTTTGGTGGCAAAGGCATCAGATGCTGCCAGCCTGTTGCCCATCGGAGTGCAGGCATCGTGCTGCCTCCTGGCTCCAAGGGGATGGTGCAGTAAAAGGGATGTTTCTTTGCAAGGCAGCAGCGCAGGCTGGGTGTGAGGAGTGAGGAGCTCGCAGGCAGCAAATGCAGAGCATCTGCTAGTTTGGATGTTCTAAAGCTCCTGCATCTGCATGGGGGGAACCTGCAAACAGTGTTTCCTCGGAGAGTTTTCTCCTCCCTTGTGCTCGTCCCCAAGCAAGTAGAGGAGGCTGTGGCAAACAGCAGTTCCCCAAGTCTCCCACAGTTTGGAAGGGAGCAGTATGGGCTCACTTCTTGCTTTGTTGCTCAGCCCTGACCTGGGTGCCACAGGTACTCCAGGTAGCAGTGGAAGATGCCCACAGTGGTGCTGTCAGACCCCTTTAGTCCATGTTTTAATGTCCTGGGTGTAAGCAGTGGCCTGGGACCTGCCTGCTGAGCTGCACTGGTGGAAGCACTTGTCAGCCTTCATGCTTCACCCTCCAGCCCATGGAGCCTGCGTAGCCCATGCAGTGCTCTGGAGTGGGTGTGGATGGGCTTAGTCGTGGGCCATTTTGGTAACACGGCTGCTGCCCCCACACCGTGTTTGTGCTGGCACAGCAGATGCAGTAGGGGAAAGGTACTTAAACACAGGGCTCCCTGCTCAGAAATGCCAGTGTCACCTGGTAAGGTGAAGCTTTTGACATCGCTTTAAACCTTCCTTTCTTCCTTTGCTTCTGCCGTGCCTCCTTCCCATGTCACTCTCAGCACAGTTCCCGTATTTGTCCTTCACTTACTTTCTGGGCTCTGCTGATAACTCTCTGCCTCCGCTTACTCTTCTGTCTCTGTTTTCCTCCTCTCCAACCTCTACAAATTTTCTTTTCCTCTCCTTTCCTGGTTTTCCTCCTTTTACTCACAAACCCTGCTTCTCCATCCTGTCTTTTTAATACTCCTCAGTTCCTCCACAGGCTCTTCCCTCCTGTTTCCCTAGAAAGGTACCCTTCTGGCCTTTGTGCTGCCAGGGATCCCCTTCACCCTACATGTGCCTGGTGGGACTCAGAGCTGAGCTCAGGGCATAGCCCCCCTTCTGCTGCCACTGGATTAATGTCCACTAAAGCCAACAGGACTCTTCGTCCTCTCCCATGTGCTGCACTCAGAGCAGACAACACCGGAGCTGACCCAAATCTCCTGCCAGGTTCTGCCTCTATCATCATCGTGATCCCAAAAGTTGTCAAGAGCAGGGTGTTGGGCCCTACCTCACGGGCTGTGAACTTGCACTCCCTCTTCTCTCTTTGCTGCCCTCCCCACATTGCCATTCCCAGTCCAGGGCTGGAAGAGGAAGGAGGGATATAGGAAATGTGATACTTCATTGCAAAGCTTCTGTCCCCCCACAACACTCAGAGATCCCACTGTCATGTTTCCGTGCCTCCACAATCGCTCCTGCAAGTCCCAGCCCTCACCCACCGTGAGCCTACAGAGAGAAGGTGCCTGCAAGCAGCCTGGCTCCCCTGGCTCCCCTCCCTGCGGGCAGGGACTGAGACAGGCTGGCAGGACTTGCCCTGAGGTGAAGAGCAGGGTGAACTGGGTGTGGGGGGCTTTGGGGCTGCTCCTCTCCTCAAGGAATGTGGAGCTAGGCAGTTTGCTGCTTAGCTGCAAGCACCTCCATCTTCTTGCTGTGGGCATAAACTGTGTCTCCCTGGGGATTTTCACTCCTTCCACCAGCGTATTTTTCACCTGGCACTGGGGGCATCTGGTCAGAGATGTTAGGAGATGGAGAGATGATTTATGACCAAAGTAGTGCTCCACATTACTGCTTGCCCACTCTCCATTGGGTTTGCTTTGTGTGATTCTCAGTCTTCAGTTTCCCTCATTTCCTTCCTAGTTTTTCTGGTTTTAATTCCCTCTTCTCTGAGCACCTTAATTTGGCCTCTTGCCCCCTGATTCGTTGGCTTTGCCTTCTCCCAGAGCGTTGGGGCTGGTGCATGTGAGTAGTGGGTTTGCTGCAAGAGCAGAGATCCTGGCTGGCCTGGGTCCATTCCTCCTGCCTGTTCTGTGTTCCCTCACATGCTGGGCTTTCACTCCCCCTTTTTTTTTTCTCTTTTTTTCTTTTCCCTTTAGCCCATAGTTGTCCGGCATCACTGGGTACACCGGAGGCGGCAGGAAGGGAAATGCCGGCAGTGTGGTAAGGTGAGAGGGCATCTCGTTTTTTTTTCTCAGCCTGAAGGAAAGCTAAGGTCAAACCAGGGACAAGAACAGGGCTGGGGACCAGGGACATCCCGCCATTCCTGTTTGGTGGCAGCAGCCTACAGCAACAGCAAGACGCATGCCCTGTTTTGCCCAGTGAAGCACTACATAAGTGCTTCCCACACAGAGTTGTTCTCCCCCTGGGCCCAATCAATCCTGGAGGGAACTGTCTTCCTGACATGCTTTCCTTGGGCAATAGGGACACCCCTGCAGAGCGCAGTGGCCTCCCTGGTGCTGTAGTGGTGGTTGGGGCTATCTGACAGGGATCCAGAGGGCTCCAGCTGCAGGCACACTCTCTTTGTTAATGTCTCTCTTGGTGGTGGGAAAGTCCTGTTGGATGGTAGAAAGCTGCAAGGAAATTCCCTAAGCCTCTTATCCTTCCCTCTACAGGGTTTCCAGCAAAAGTTTGCCTTCCACAGTAAAGAGATTGTAGCCATCAGCTGTTCCTGGTGCAAGCAAGCGGTGAGCAAAGCCCCCATTGGACGTCTTACCAGCCTGCTCTGCATCTCATGACCTCTGCTTTCTGCTGGGACGCCCCCAGGCTGCTTCTCTGCAGCCTGCCCTTACAGCTCCTCTTACTGGGAGAAGCTGTACTGTGGTAGCTGGGAGCTCCTACGAGAAACTTTCTCCTCATTGCCTTCCCATTACAAAATTCCTGCATGGTTTTCTCCAGCACTCCCTGCGCTGGCATGGGTGAGCTGGGAGGAGGAGAAGATGGTTGTCCCCAGCAAACTGAGCAGCTGAGTTTTCTCTCTGTCTCTCCTCTTGTCCTTCCCCAGTATCACAGCAAAGTGTCATGTTTCATGCTGCAACACATCGAAGAGCCCTGCTCACTGGGGGCTCACGCTGCTGTTGTTGTTCCTCCCACCTGGATTCTGCGGGTCCGACGGCCCCAGGTAACTCACCTCAGCTCTTGTGGCTCTTTCACAACAACTGCTTGCCCAGCAGCTCCTCATGGAGTTTTTGGGTTTGTTTCTTTTCTCTAGAATCCACTGAAATCTAGTAAGAAGAAGAAGAGGACATCGTTCAAGCGGAAATCCAGCAAAAAGGGGGCCGAGGCAAGAGATGAGGGGACAGGGAATGACCTTGTCTTGGAAGGGCGGAGGGACTGGGCAGTGAGGAGCAGGACTGGGAAACAAGAGGGCTTTGCGGGGTCTGCGCTGAGGTTAAGGAGGGTGAGGTGGAGGGAGGGTGCCTGCTGGCAGGGAAAATCCCAGCTATGAGGCTTACAGACTGGCTGGGATGTTCTCTTCCTCCTGTTCCTGACCACGTATGATGTTAGGGCTCAGCTAGAGGTGGGAGTTTGTGTTTCCCTGAGTTTGTTGAAGGTGGTGTCTCTTGCAGGAAGGGAGGTGGAAACCTTTTGTCATCAAGCCCATGCCAGCTCCTCTCATGAAGCCCTTGCTGGTATTTGTGAACCCCAAGAGTGGTGGGAATCAGGTATGGCCTTGTTCTACATCTCCATGAGGAGGCAGCTCTATGGGGGTATTGCCTTTTGGCTGCTGAGGAGTCAGCATAGTTTTGGTGATGTCTCAGCTGCAGAAGAGGCAAGGCAACCTCCGCAATGCCAGTTTGCTGCCCAACAATTCCCACCTAGGCCAGGCTTTGCCTGAGTCCCCCCAGAATGCCGTTGTCTTGGCCTGTCCTCGAGACCAGGTGCCTTCTTCCCTCTGTCCACTGGGAACTCCCTGTTCCCTGCTGAAGTCTTTCTTGCCCTCACAGGGAGCCAAGATCATCCAATCCTTCATGTGGTATCTCAACCCACGGCAAGTTTTCGACCTCAGCCAGGGTGGACCCAAGGAGGCGTGAGTACTGATGGGGCAGCACCCTTCTCTCCCCCATCCCTGCCCCAGAGATTCCTCCTCAGAGCTCTTCCCGCGGTTGGCAGAGGCCTGATGCTCCATACCTCCCTGTGCAAAGACACCTCCAACGAGTTCATGCTTTGAGAGACCTCTCTAGGACACCTTGCGGCCAGTCCTGGCCTTGCAGTGCTTCCTGCTGGAGGGCTGGTCTAATCTTAAGGCTAGTGGCAAAGAGACCAGCTGTAGGGTGACATTCCCAAATCTAGTTCATTATGTTCCGTTAATGTCGCGTGGGTCTTGTCTGCTTGCTGCGTTTCAGCTTATCTGCGTGTACATGGACTGTGGACGACACCCTGCTCTTCCTCCACAAGAGCTGGTGAAGCCAAAGTTACTGTGGCTTTGCCCACTGCTGTGAACTGCTGTGGCGATGGGGAGGGAGACACGCATGTGGCTTTGTGAACGCCACGGGCTCTGTGAGGGCAGGGAGCCCTGCAGCTGCTGCGTAACACCTTCAAGTGCCTCTTCCCTCCCCTTCTTACTCTCTCTGTTCCCTGCAGGCTGGAGCTGTATCGCAAGGTCCACAACCTCCGGATCCTGGCGTGCGGGGGAGACGGCACGGTGAGTCCCCTGGCCCTTTGTGCCTGCAGTACCTTTCGCCCCAGGCCTTCCCAGTGCCAGCAGCAGCCCTCCTTGCTGTAATCCAGAATGGGGCAAAATGTGCGCACTGTGTCCATGGTCCAGCTGGTGGCATCGGATACTGTGGGTCGCCTCATGCACTGCTCCAGGGAGTGCTAGTCTGTGGCATGTCTGGATTTGTCGCCCTTTTGGGGGCGAGTGTCCTGGCCAGTGAGGGGGGCCAGTGGGTTACTGGTATCTCCCGCAGCACCCATTTGGAGCATTAAAGACTGTGAATAGCCTCGGTGGTGGCTAAGGGGACCCTGTCTCTGCCCCTCTGCCATCGCTAGTGCTTCGATTCACCTCCACCTGCCTGCCTGTCCCTGAAATAATCAACTGTTTCTTTGTGCTCTCTTGCTTGAGCAGGTGGGCTGGATACTCTCCATTCTGGACCAGTTACGCCTCAACCCACCTCCTCCTGTGGCCATCCTACCTTTGGGGACAGGGAATGACTTGGCCAGGACACTGAACTGGGGTGGGGTAAGTGATGGGCAGAAGAGCTCACTGCTGACAGAGGAGGGCTGGGTGCTTCGACTCTGGTTCCAGACACACAGGTGGGGATTTGCACTGGCTAGCTATTTTGACTTTCCCTAACTATAGACCAACAAATAAGTGCAGTTTGGATGTTACCGTTCTTCTGACATTTGAATTATTCTGAATTAGGTTATAATATCTTAGGATATTAACAAAAGCAATCATTATTTCAAACTTTGGGAGATTTTTAGAAGGAAGATACATTGTTTTTAAATTTAAAGTTCCACTTTGTTGAGCATTCAAGTAGAATTGATCTTTTCCACATCCTTTGCTCTGGGATGTCTTCCCAAAGAAGAAGACATCTCTGCAGGAAGCAGGTAGGAGACTCACTGAGTCCTGGTCTTCACCAGGGTTACACAGATGAGCCTCTGTCCAAGATCCTGTCACACGTGGAAGATGGGAACATTGTGCAGCTCGATCGCTGGAACCTCCATGTGGAGCCAAACCCTGACGCAAACCCTGAGGAAAAGGATGAGGTGGCCGCTGACAAGGTGGGACACTGCGTTCTCCTTCTCCCACTGGCTCAGGCAGCCCCAGCACCTGGGGCTATGGTGTTGGGCTGGCATTTCCCTGCTCCAGTTCCACTCCTCCTCTCATGGCTCTGACCCATGGCACTCATGGCGAGGCGTGTAGAGATCAGAACTAAATGTACAGCAGAGGTTTTTAACCACAGCTTGCAACAGGTATAAGCCGAGTCCCCTCTGAGACTGTTTCTTTAGCAGAAACATGGGTGATTGCAGGTATCTTGGAGACCAGAGTGTGTCCCCTTGGGCCATGTCCCTTACCCCTAGGAGCTGGGGTCCATCATCTCAGGCTGGTGACCTCTGTATTTTCCTGGGGGGAAGGCAATCCTCTGCTCCATGAGCCTCGTGAGCACGGTGCATGGCTCTGCTATAGCCTGACCTCGTCTTTGCCATAGCCACACGCTGGCAGCCTCATCTTTGTTCCTCCTTTCCATTTCAGCTCCCCTTGGATGTCTTTAATAACTATTTCAGCCTTGGCTTTGACGCGCGGGTGACGCTGGAGTTCCACGAATCCCGAGGTACGGGGGGGAGTTTTTTTAGTTTCTGTGGTGATGGGGTGCCCCAGAGGTGGGCCCGTAAAATGCTCCTTGGCAAAGTGAACAAGAGGATTGCCCCAGGGGCAGGGCTGGAGGTGAAACCTGAGGAGCAAGTGGAGGCTGCAGAGGGGGAAGAGGGATGCCTGCATGGGAAGAGAGCTGGGGGCTGCCTCCTGGCCGAGGCTGGCTGGAGAGCTGTGTCTGGAGAGAGCTGGCAAGTGAAGTATTTCCATGTGCAGGCCAATGACCTGGACTTTTTTCTCCTTTCCCTAGAGGCCAACCCAGAGAAGTTCAACAGCCGGTTTCGGAATAAAATGTTCTATGCTGGGGTGAGTGTGTGGAGGATATCTGGGCATGCCTTCATAGCAGCCTTAGCGTCAGCTGGAGTGCAGGCACAGCCCTGGCTCCTGTCTGCACCCTCAACTCACTCATCCGAGTTACACGGGCCTTCACGTGCACCCAAGCTGAGCCCCCCTCCCGAAGCTGGAGAGGTGCTGGAGAAAGGCTGCAGATCTGGGAGTCACAGCTCATCTTTGGCTGCGAGTGCTGCTGCTCCCGAAGCTGGAGAGGTGCTGGAGAAAGGCTGCAGATCTGGGAGTCACAGCTCCTCTTTGGCTGCGAGTGCTGCTGGCGGTACAGCTTGCTCTCTGGCCTGCAGTACAGTTGCTGCCTTGATCTCCTGCCACTATTGTTCTTGTTCTCCGGCTCACGGACAGTCACCCAGGCAGGACCTCCCCGGAGCTGTGGGGAGGCAGGCTGTCTCCCCTGCAGAGGAACAGGAAGCCTTTCCATAGAGTCCCCACACTACTTTGGTCTTTTATTTTATACCTTGGGCCAGTTACAGCTCCCTGGCTAATTATGCCACCCTCCTGTATCTCACTTGTAGAGCTTTGTGTCTCAGTGTCATCTTTGTTCGTCCATCCCCCCATCCTCAATATACCTCCTTACCCATGTGGCTGGGTGACCAGTATTTGAGCAGTTCTAAAGGCCAAGTGCTGCTCTGTACCATCTCACATCTCTCCTGTTTGTGTCTCCCCTCCTCTCTATACAGTTAAACCCAAAGGGGACCCTAGGATCTGTGTAACAGAGGCCATGCTGTCCTCCTGGTAAATCTAGATGAGGTCACATCAGCTCTGTTTTATGGTATTTCATTGCAGCTTGAGACTGAATTTGTCTCCTCTGACTCGAGTCTCTCACAAGAGGAGACCCACCTTGCCAGCTCTTCCCTAAAGCTGGGACTGGGCTGGGAGGGGAATTTGGGGGGGGGGTGTTACTAAAGGTGCCCCAAGGTTTTTGGTAGACAAAATGGCCAGAGGAATGGATAAGGTTGGTTTGGGAGGGGAGAAGAGAGGGCTTCCGCCATTGGACAAGGAAGGGATTTGCTGCTCTCAGCAGCTGAGGTCTGAAGGTTGGTGGCAGGCTTCCTGGCTGCCCATTTCGGTGAACATGTGGGCGCTAATGCTGTCTCTTGCCTTGGCAGACGGCTTTCTCCGACTTCCTCACAGGGAGCTCCAAAGACTTAGCGAAGCACGTCAAGTTGGTTGTGAGTGTGCAGGGGTGCTCTGGATCAGGGAGGGGGTTGAGCTGCCAAGGGGTGAGGAGCGGTCCCTTGGCACACTGGGTATCTCAGGATTGGGGAGAGGATGTGTTCCTGGGGACATTGGCTTCCTCTGGCTTGGAGGACAGTCACCATGGGGAGCAGAGGGGGAGGTCATTTCCTCCCAGGTGGGTAGGGTGGGCCAAGCCACCCCTTAGAGCAGCCTGAACGCCCCTGTGTTGTCTCCAGTGCGATGGCATAGACCTGACCTCCAAGATCCAGGACCTAAAGCCCCAGTGCCTGGTCTTCCTGAACATCCCCAGGTGAGCAGCCCCAGGACCTGCCCTCGTGTGCTGGGCTCCTCACCCCCATGCCACAGATCCCTGCTTGGGTTTGGGGGGGGCCTGTCCATGCATCGCTTGCCATCCCTTCACAGGTACTGTGCAGGCACCATGCCCTGGGGCAACCCTGGGGAGCACCACGACTTCGAGCCACAGCGCCACGATGACGGCTGCATTGAAGTTATTGGCTTCACCATGACATCCCTGGTGAGTCGGTGCTGTTGCCAGTTGTAGCTAGCAATGAGGGGAGCGACTGGTCCCATTGACCAGGCATTGGCCAGCCCCCCAGCTTCCGTCCTGAGGAGCTGTAGTGCTGGCCTGTGTGGCAGTGTCTGCTCTCTGAGATTTAGGCAAGGTGCTGTCATGCCCTAGTCTCTGTGGATCCCTTCCAGAACTTGGTTCACTTGCAGCATCTGGCTGACAATGGGTGCTCCCCTATCCACCCCTCAGTCTATGCTCTGCTCTCACTCTGGATTCTTTCACAGGCTGCCTTGCAGGTTGGTGGTCACGGGGAGCGGCTGTGCCAGTGCCGGCAGGTGGTTCTCACCACGTCCAAGGCCATCCCCATGCAGGTAGATGGAGAGCCCTGCAAGCTGGCGGCTTCCTGTATCCACATCTCCCTGCGCAACCAAGCCAACATGGTGCAGAAGACCAAGCGTCGCAACTCCATGCCTCTGCTCAATGAGTAGGTTCCTCAGATCAATCTGCCACCTCCTCTCCAAAGCAGAAGGGATGGAGGGGGAAGGGATGGGACCGATCCATCACTCCCAGAGGCATTTCGATCCTCTCTGAAGAAGGGCCTGGGAAGGGATCAGGTCACAGAAGTATGGCCAGACCCCGGTGCTGGAGAAGCTGATGGTGCCAAGCTCCCCACCCTAGTCTGTGCTCGTGCCTGTTTTGGAGGGGTGAGTGGGATAAGAAGAAAGTGGGCTGTCACTTTCTGATCCCTTCCCTTTTCCTTCCCCCCTGCATGCAGCCAGCAGCCAGTGCCCGAGCGGCTGCGGATCCGGGTGAGCCGAATCAGCATGCGTGATTACGAGGCACTGCACTATGACAAGGAAAAGCTCAAGGAAGCCTGTGAGTGACCAGCTGAGTGACCAGGGGGTGGGAGCCGCAGTCCCCGAGTCCAGCAGTGCCCTCAGCTCAGCTGTGTGAGGTGTTGGGGTGGGGCACGGGCTGCTCCCTGAGTTGTGTCTGTGCCCTGTCATGCAGCTGTGCCGCTGGGGATCATTGTGGTTCCAGGAGACAGTGACCTGGAGTTGTGCCGGACCCAAATCGAGAGGCTGCAGGAGGTGAGGCTTTGCGTGGGAAATGGTCACAGATGGATGCTGAGGATGGAGGGGCTCAGGGAAGGGATTTCTAAGCCTCCTCGACCTGCACACACCAACACACATGCTCCTGCTTCTGGTAGCAGGTCATGGTTTCCCTTCACCCCATGGTGGAGGCAGGATCACAAGCTGGATGGCTTGTTGCTCCCTGCTCTCTGGCAGCTTCTTTCTCAGCATCGCTCTTCTGACCTTGTTCTCCAGGCCCAGGGTGTCCGTGGCCCAGAAAAGTTATGGGGCAGTGGAAAAAGCCAGCATACATCCTATGGGGGCCTATCATAGAATCATAGAATCATAGAATCATTAAGGTTGGAAGAGACCTCCAAGATCATCGAGTCCAACCGTATCACCCACTGGGTGTTTGGGGAGGCCTTTCCTCTGTCCCTTTGTTTGCTGTGCTGTGTTTCTTCAGCCCTCCGCAGGCTCTGTGTTTCCTGGCACAGCTCTGCCCCTCCCAGGGTGCCTGGATTAGGGTTGCTCCTCCCTCCCCTACTTCATTTACAAGTACTAACTTTTGTGCTCCTGCCAATGTGCTAGTACGTGTCCATGACTCAGATACGGGCTGTGTAACCCTTGCTCCTGGTGAGCAATGCTTTCTGAGCCCACAGCGTGCTTCCTGGTGCTGCACTGCTCAGTCTGATTTTCTCTCAGAAGATTGAAGGGACCTTGCTTAGTCCCCAGTTAGCTGGCTCTTGTGCCTGAGGGAATCCCATCCGGCTTGTGCATAGTGTCCTGCAGGGCTGAGTTGCAGAGCTGCTTGCCCAGGCTGGCACACTGGCATCTGCTCCTTTGCTCTGCCTGCTCTGCTTGCCTGTCCCCTGCCCACCTTGTGCCCAGGCACTGGTGAGGACATGCAGACAGGTACATGGCTAGCAGCTCCCGCGCTCAGAGGGTAACACTTTCCTATGGCGTCAACCTGGTAGACTGATGCCTCTGCAACCTCCTGCACCTCTAAAGCTGTGTGTTGAGGCTGGTGTTCCTCAGTCATCTCGTGGTTTACCTCTTCTCTCTCCTTGGGCAATCACTGTGCTCTAGCCTCAAAGCAGGGCAGGGACCAGGGACCTTGGCCAGGCAGTGTGTAAAGCCAGATATGGCAGCACATTAAGCAAGACCAATGGGACGAGAGGGGCTGAGGGGCCGCCCAAAGGCTGTAACTGCACACCTTGCCTTTCTGCAGGATTTCCTTCCACAGCCCTCTGCTTTAGAGCGCCTGCTCTTTCAGGTGTGTATGGCCTTGCGCCGTCGCCCCGGGCCCATCTGTCATGTGCACCATGCCAGTCTCATGGGCTCATCTTGTGGCACCTCTCTCTTCAGTGAGCTGGTGTGTGTCGGCTCCAGTCTGTCCTGTGCAGCTTCCCATCGCTGTGTGCTGTGCCTGTGTTCAAGTTTGCCTTTCCATCCAAGCACCTGTGGTTCTCCGTGTCTGCAGGGACCTTCCAAAGCAGGAGGGACGCTCTGGGGAGAGATGGGGAGGCCAAGAGACACGACTTTATCCTGTCTTTTTATACAGGAGGGAGATGGAGCCAAACCGAAGACACTGTCATCGCAGAAGCTATCACCCAAGTGGTGCTTCCTGGACTGTGAGTATCATCTTCCCCTGGGAGTGCTGATCGTGTCTGAATGTGGGGGAGTGAGGGGACAGACCCTTAGTGACAAGCCACTGAGAGCCACGTGGGACTTGGGACTAATGGATGTTGGGGTCTTTGCGGCCGAATGCAGCAGTTTTTTACCCCAGGCTGTGTCTCTGGCTGCTGACCGTGAGTGGAGCAAGGGGCGTCTGCTGGTCTCCTGCCCCCAGAGCTGAAGCCAGCTTGGCGGCGTGTGTCCTGTCACTGCGGGACTGCTGGGCTTGCTGTCCTGTGTCATGCAGGCAGGGGGCCCCCCTGCTCCAGCACGCTGGGAGCAAGGCTCACCGTGAGCGTCCCAGTGGTATGGGAGCAGGCTCCCCACCGGGCTCCAGCTGCTTCTTCTCCCCTGCCTGAAAGTAGCTTTCTCTTCCCCCTTTGCCTTCACTGACCAAGAGGCTCCAGAGCTCTCCCTCTGTACCTGGAAGTTGGCCGAGAGAAATGACTGCTGGTGGCACTTCATCTCCCTGACTTCCCAGTAGCAGGGCATAGAGCACAGTAGAGCACAGCTGTGGGTTGCAAAGTGGGCCTGGGAAGCCTCGTGCTAGGCAGAGAGGATACAGCTTCTCCCTTCGGGGTTCCAGCCCTGCATATGGGACTGCTGGCGCTGCTGCTCCCAGGTGTCACTACCAGGACTGCTGTACCAGGACCGCTTTCCTTTCCTCCCAGCAGCAGGTTCTGGGCTCAGGAAAATGTGTCAGGAAAGAGGCCAGAGCCTCATTCAAGACAGCATAGGCTCATTCAAGCAGCTGAATTACAGGCCTTCAGCAGCAGCTCACTGACACTAAATCTCCAGCCAGGACAGGATAAACGAGGCTCTTTCACTCCTCTCATCTGCTCTGGCCCATCCCCATTCTGCGAAGAGAATTCCCCAGGTCCCCAAGGGTCCCACCACAGCAACTTCACCTGGGCAGGCACCAGCAGCCTGGTGGGACACAGGGGAAGTGCCACCCTGTGTGGGGACCCAATTGTCCTGGCGCTGTGCTCTTGCTTTTCCTGCTGGTGATGCCGTAAGTCCCCAGCCCCTCCCTGCTCCCCCAGGGGTGGTGGCTTTGTGGGTCTGGCTCCAGCACAGCCACTTGCTCCGTTGGTGTTGAAGGAGCTCCTCTCCTGCTGTGGGGATCTCTCCTCTAAGGAAAAGAGATGAGCAGAGGGATGCACTCAGACAAGCTGCTGCCAGCAACAAGCTGGAGGCTGGTTTGAAGCTCTCTCCTGCTGTCCTAGGAGACAGGGGCTTGGACCTACAGCTGGTGGTGGTGTGCTCCATTGTACCTGGCAGTCACAAGCTCTGACATGGTCTTGTGGTGGTCCATGGGACCTTACTCAGTCAAGTCAGCGGGAGGCTGAGCTCCCTCTTCTCCCAGCCCCACTTAGTGCCCCCATTTCTCGGCACTCTGCAATGAGGTGCATCATGTTAAATTGGAGTAGTTCCTCACCTGGTGCAAGTGAATGCTGAGACATGTGCTGCACAGCCCTGAACTTTGTCTGCTCAAGCTAATGCTGGAGCACCCGAAAGCCCCCAGAAAGGCCACAGCGTCAGCTAGGCGCGTTCTTGCCTTCCCTGTGGCTCCCTGCCAGGAGTCATCGAGGAGGAGATAGCAAGCAAAGGCATGTTGCACAGCAGCATGGTGGTCTGTAGGCCTAAGGAGCTGCCTCTCGTTTAAAGAGAACAGCAGGGTCCCAAAGGGAAGGGAACTGCTCCTGGTTTGGGGGTGCTGTTTGCTTTGCTGTGCCTTCCATGCAGGCCATGAAGTGGCTGGATAGTTCACCGCGTCTCGGTGGCAGAAAGTGGCCGTCTCCCTCATCCCACACCAAGAATCACTCTGTCTTGCTCTGTCCCTGTTTTCCAGCAACCACAGCTGATCGGTTCTACAGGATAGACCGCGCACAGGTGAGTGCAGCCTTGTCCTCTGCCATTGTCTCCCCTGGCGTCTTCTGGGAAGGTGCTTGAGTGTCCTGCGTTCACGTGGACCGACAGGCAGGCTCAGCCTCAGGGACACACAGGTCTCGCATTGCTGTCCTGCCCTGAGTCATCCCCTGAGGGGTGGTGTGACGGGCCTGGTCCAGGACCAGCCCCAGCACCTCTAGGTTCCCGTGGAAAGGGAGGAAGCATGGGTGGGAGCACAGAGACTTGGATTGGAAGCCGCCTGCAGGACCCTGCAGCAGAGCGGGTAAGGAATAGCGATGTAGCAAGGCTGGCTAGGCACCCACCGACTGGGGTCATCTTACCCAGCATTAAATACTTTCCCTAATGATCTGGAGAGGGGCACATGGAGATGAGGTGTACGGGGTCAGCTGCTAGGTTGGGAGGAGATGGGAAGCCTGAAAAGGACAAGGAGATGTGGCGGCTTCCCTGGCACAGGTCCCAGGACTCTTCGAGCCACCATCACTCTGCTGAGTGAGTGGATGGGTGACAAGGCATGGCATGTGAGGGGATGGGAGCTATGCAGAAGTAGGTCTTGCTTATGAGGAGGCTCATTTGTGTCTTTCAGGAGCACCTCAACTATGTGACAGAGATATCTCAGGACGAGCTCTACGTGCTGGACCCAGAGCTGGTGATCACCCAGACCGTGGGCACCTCTCCTGCCATGCCTGACCTTGTTGACTCGTCTGCTGCACCCACTGGGCACCATTTTGCATTCCCCTCCTCTTCCTCCTCTCCACCCTCCTCTCCTGCCCCCAGGTGAGTCTGGGGTGGGCGAGAATGGGGTGCTGGACCTCAGGAAGGGTGGGCAGCGATGGGAGAGCCAGGGTTGGTTTCACTGCATCGATCCCTGGGCCAGGTCACAGGGGGGCTCCCAGGAAGCGAGCAGGAATTCAGTGCTGAGTTAGACCAAGTGGTAAGATGCTGTCCCGTCTTCCCTGCTCTCCAGCCAGTGCTGCTGGAGGTGGTGGGGCATCACCAGGCAGCTCAGCCATGAGGTCAAGCTCCAGTGCCTGGCCCGTGGGGCAAAGGGCATGGGTGTCTATTGGCCCAAGTCAGGCTGGCCTTGGGTACAGGTGAGCAACAGAGCTGGGAGCAGCAGTAGAAATGGGAGTGGGGATGGGGAAGAACCCAGATTGGGGAAGAAGCAGATGGCATGACCAAAGAGCAGCAAAGTCCCTTGGCCTGCCTCTGCTCCTGCCTGCTGGAGGAGTGCCACGGGCAGGCTTCTCCACAACCATCCCTCCACCCGCCGTGTGCTCTTTTGGGCAATCTGCTGCCAGGACTAGCAGGGTTAGTTATGCCTTTTCTTCTTCCCTTCCAGTGCTGAGCCTGAGTGCTGCCTCCCACACAAAGGTGAGTCCTGTTCCACCCCCTGTCACACCCTCTCTCAGGTTGCACTGTTTTGGGTCCCCGCCATGTTTTTTTTGGCCTATCCTTTCCCTGGCGTGCAGGCAGGAGCCCTGCTGCCTGTGTGCTAGGTGGGAGCACAGAGCCCCGCAGGCGGGTGACCCCAGAGGTTGGCAGGAGAGACCTGACAGTGATTTGTGGAGCGGCCCGGCCAGGCGCCTTCCCAACTCTGCCGTGCAGGAAATGGCATGGCAGATGGGTTAATCCCCCACCTGCGGAGCTGAGTGCTGTGGGCTGGGCTGGGGGGCTGTCCCTGCCAGGCAGTGGCTGGGGCTCCTGGGGGGGGGGGACCA